TTTTTTTTTTTTAATAAATTTTACCCTCTACTCGCAATATTTTGTATTCCACGTTATCTTACTATTATATAAAGAAATATAAGGAAGAATAACGGATCGTATTTGTAACTCGAGTAAGATAATATCAAATGATAAATTTATTGCGAGTGTAAAACTTACTGCGAACAAAAAATAAAAAGGGGAAAGAAAAATGATCGAACTAACGTAATATGTAAAAATATGAAAGATTTGATATATTTTTCTTCGAGAAAAACATAAAAAATAAACTACAATAAAATAAAATAAAATAAATAATATAGGAATGAGAAAACAATAACGTTTAACGTTCGAAACTTTAATGATATTTATCGATATCCAAAAATTCATAAAAATTATGAAATAACAAAAATAAAAAAAGAAAAAACAAAAAAAATAAAAGAATAATAGGAGTTATCAAAACGGAAGGCGGAATTGAATTTCCAAAGTCATTAGATCTCGCAGTGCGTCTCGTGACGCACGAGACGTCTCTTTTTTCTTACACGCGTCTACCCTCTCTCTCCCTCCCCGCCCCCAACCATATCACTCTCTCTCTCTCTCTCACTCACTCTTCAAAATGGCTACAAGCAGCCGGCATAGCGTCTTCTGGTATAAATACATATGAGAATTGGGTCGCTGCCCTGAAGCGCAAAGGCAACTCTCTCTAGCGCCTCGTCTACGCGATTTCTTCCTCCTCCTAGTCTTGTTTTAACCACCTCGTCCGCACCCTCCCGGAAGTGGTGCCTTTGACCCTTTATCGTCGCTCTTACGCTCACGTATCCTAACGAAATTTCATCTAACGTCAAAGCTTAGTCCCAAGGATTTGCTATACGGCTCATTAAATCCTTACCATTCCTTTGAACACGTCGAACACTCTTTAATCTTTAAAAACAAAATTAAAAAAAAAAAAAAAAGAAAAAATAGGATATCAAAGAAAAGCAAAAAAAAGGAAAGAGAAGAAAAAAAATAAATATATATTATATATATATATATTTGAAAATATGCCTATATAAAAAAAAAAATGTAAAAATATATTTATTAAAAAAAATTTGTTCTTTTTTGTAAATATATAAATATATATATATTTCTTTATTTTATTTTTCAAATCCTTGGTTTCCTTTCTTCTTGCTTTATGCATCATGTCTATTATATAGGACAATGGCAGTACATGAATATTTGTAATCTTTTTCCTTCGATTACTAACGAGCAAAATTACTGCGGTCGATGTTCGCGTGACGGCAATTAGATAATCACGAAGGAAGTCTCCTCTTTCTCTCCTTCTTCTTCTTCTTCTTTTTCCATCTATCTATCTCTTTCACTCATTGACTCCGTGTTTGACTCGATATTAGGGAGGATCCGTTCGCGAGGAACGTGCAATCGCGGTTTTTCGGCTACCTCTCGATGCTAGCTAGACCCTTCTTTTCGGCCGTGTGTCTGCCATATGACAATAACATCTGTGGCCCATACTATATACATCGACACATATACCTGAGCACCTAGAGAAAAGGAAAGGAGTACTACGGGGGTGCAAGGGACCATCTTGCAAGCCTCGAAACCCAACCTTCTTATACGAGTAAAAAGCAATCGAAAGCCTTACCAAAGTATAAAAGGTAATAGTAAAGTGCGAAAAGTTGCAGCTGTTGAAATATTTGCTTCAACAACGATGGAATTAGAGTCATCTGATAATATTATAATATGATTAACGAGATAATCGTAATTAAACGACAAGACAAGACTTTGAAATATTTTTATGAAATCATTACATCCTCGGTTTATCTAAATGATGAAGTAACCAGCAGACTGTTCGTCAAGCACGATTAAAATAAATAACGTGCTATTAAATGATAAATATGTGAAAAAAAATGCTTCGCTTGTTGCTCTTTCATTGATCACAGAACGCTCGAAAATTTATTACTCTTTGCCATAACAATCTAACGCAGAAGTATAATGAATTATTTATTACGAAAAACAAATCATTATTTCAATCGCAACAAGTTTTATTTACGTTGAAACATTGTTCTCGATGAATAATTTATATACGTTGATGAATATTTTCCATTGCAATTAAAAGGATTCACATTTGAAAAATGAAAAACGTACGGGTATCTGTATGTTCGTTTACAAAATTTCTAAAAACATTTCTCTCATACTTTTACAAATTAATTGAAACGAATAAAAATATATTATTAATGGTAATTTTTTTTAATTATTAATACGATTACTTAATATCGAGCCTGGAGATATGCAACCGTCTATGCCTTGTGATATATGTGGTTAACAACGCCATCTATCAGTAAAAAAACTTTTGTAAGCCCCTTATTAGAGCAACTCCTGATTACATGCATCTACAAACGTATTGCCTATCACAAGGACTTGGAAAAATGCTCATTTTTCATACAAAAACTCGTAAATATTTTATATTAAATAATCAATAAATAAATAAACAATTAATTAATAATTACTTTATAATATAAGCACAAAATAATAAGTCAATCAACTACATTGAAGTCTGTAAAATTCTAAAAATGATAAAAACTACAAAGTTGATACAATAATCTACGTCGTAGACATTGTTATCTTTTCTAAAATAAAACGATGCATAAACAGCTCAATAGTTTATCACATATATTTGTTACTATCCGCTTGAACTATTAACAGTAACAATATTTAAAAACAAAAGTATATATATATTTATAAACGATTGAAATAGTATAATAAAAATGCAATATATATTTATAACGTTACTTGTTACAAAAAAAGCTTTAATTAAAAACCAATAATTACATTGTTACCGGTACAATTGCACATACCAGAAGAGCATTTTTCTTTCTTACCGACCAGGTAAATTGTCCAGCATAGGTGTCGCCCTAAGACGAATCTGGCAGGTCGGTAAGAAAATAATCGTACATATCCATTTTCGGAAACTCTATTTATCAACGATATAAACAACTGGGTAAACATGAAATCTAGAAGAAATAACGATTAATAATACGAGTTTTTTCTTCGCGATTTATGTATGCATTGCACTAAAAATACTTATCCTACAATCGAATAAGAGAAAAATGTAAAATTATTCGAAATTACGCTAAAACAGATGACACCCTGCCTTATCATCGAACATTATTCTTCTTCATTCAAGCACAAAGTGTAAACAAACGAAAAATCGAAATTACGACAGTCTATTTATTTTCTTTCCACGACGCGAAATGAATGAATTAAAAAATATGAAAGAGAGTTTAGAAAAAAATTAGCGTAATTAGCGAAAGAAAAAAACAAAAAATAAATTATAAACAGAGAACGAAGGAATAATGTAGAAAGAATAGAAATATGATAAAGTTATATAGGCGTATGAGGTAGAATAGCTAGAAAATGTCCTATTGGTGATACGATAACGATCGTTTTGCGCAGATCCAGTCAATGCGGCAGAAAAATCGCAGACGGATGTGATTATTTTGCATGGAAGGGTAACTGGATCCTAATGGAGACATAATCAGAAAGAGAAAGAAAGAAAAAAAGAAAGAAAGAAAGAAAGAAAAAGAGAGAGAGAGAGAGAGGGACAAAACGAATAACGCGATAGCTTTAGGTACTTCATTCCAAAAGAAGGAAAAAATGAAAATGAACGAACGCACTGCAGCGTGTATATGCGTTAAAACATGATTGCATGAGAGAGAGAGAGAGAAAAAACCGTTTCGGTAGTTTTGATTACATCGACGCACGGTCGACCTAACCTTAAAAACGAACATATTCTATCCCTTTTTCTGTCCTTCTCGAGAGATAGGTATAGACGAGAAATTTGCAGAGAACAAAAAGAAATAAAGAAAGGAAAGAAGGCGATGAACCTTCCTCTCAGATTGCTAAATCGTACATGAAAAGGACAAAGAAAGAAAGAAAGAAAGAGAGAAAGAGGAAGAGAGAGAAGTAGAGAGTGAGAAAGAAAGAGAAAGAAAGAAAAAGAAAGAGAGAAGGAAAAGTAGAAAGGAAGGAGGAAGAAAGAGGAAAACAAAAAAGAAAAAAAAAAAAAGAAAAAAATGAAAAAGAGAAAAGACAGAATGGAAGAATGAGAGAAGTAATAGAGAAAGAGAAATAGAAAGGAGATGAGAGAAGAGAGAAAGAAAGGAAGGAAGGTCGTAGGGTTAGTTTGGAAGGACGTGGAACGAGAAGAACTCGTGACAAGTTGTCACACGTCAAATGAACAAATCGATGTTTCTTTAAAGGGATCGTTATAATAAATGCTTAGAAAAAATAGTCGAGTTCAATTAGATATTAACATACAATGTAGGATAGAGAAAGAAATCTCTTTGGATGGTAAATACTGGCAAACAGGATGTCGTCTTTTTTAACGCGTTCTCTTCTATGGGGGAAAAAGGGCCCCGCGTGCGTGAGTGTATGTAATACGCGTATATATGTATATATATATATATATGTGTATACATAACTAGGTAGGAAAGAAAGAGATGGGGAACGCGTAAGGTTCACATATATATAGGAAGTGCGAGAGAAGGAGCAAGAAGACTCACTCACCGCTGTGTCCGGTGTTGCTCGATGACTGGCCCATTATTATTGTCGCACCTTGAACGATATGAGGCACGATCAGAGGCACGAGGCGATGCGGCACTGTCCTCCCAAACCCGAACTCACGTTAACTTCTCGAACAAACATGGATACGAAAAAGACCGACACATTTTTTACCCCAGTACGAAACAATAATACACAGAGTCACATTGTGCTAGTGTGATGGTGTTGTAAACCGTGCGCGGTGTGTCGCTACGGCAGAGGAGACGTGCACAAGCCTCCCTCCCCTTAACCAACCTTCTCTCTCTCACCCCTTCTCTTTCTCTCACTCTCTCACTCTTACCTCTCTCCCTCTCACTCCCTCTTTTTTCTTTCTCGCGCTGCGCCGACGAGAGGTGATTGGCCCGCGACGATGCGCGCGCATGCGCGACCCGCGACTATTTAAATTGCCTTTTCTACCTACCTCCCCAAGCGCTTACGGACTTTAAAATACGAATTATCCAATACGAATCTATCACTACTCGCGATTCTTTCGTTTATCGTTGTTTAATATAGAATTCTTTCTATTACGTATTGCGCGTAACGTTGAAAAATACGTTTAAATACGTTTAATATCAAAATTAATAATATCTTGTATGTGTTGTTGAGTTAATTTCTACTTTAATCCTAGATAGAATTGAACCGTATTTAGGAAGAAATATTGGCATTTTCCCGGGCGTTTCCGTTTCCTATAGATCGCTGTCACATTTCTGTAAATCATAAACTGCGCCTAGAATTCGCGTGTCGCATGAACATCATCATCCTCGTCGTAGTCCGTTGTCATCGTCCTTTCGTTTGTTCGTTCTTTACTAAACCACTATCACGCGATTACATTGTGAAATAGAGAAATTCAAAATATGTCGAGTAAGTTTGTCCGAGGCACCGCAAGCTTCTCGAAACGTTTTCTCTTCGTTGTTGTGAAAGATAGTCGACGGAACTGTTAACGATCTACGGTAGGTAGGCATTGAGTTTAGTCCGTGTCCCTTTGCCCTCAAATTCCTTCGAGATTTGCCAGATTAACGGTGAGGATAATGAGGTGAGGCATAAGGGAGATAATCGATCCGTTATGAAGTTATAAATCTTCAAAGGAGAGATCAGCGGGGTCTAACAACGATATGAGGCTACGATATATATCTCCTTAGCAACGTCGTGGCAAAACACTGCGTCAGTAGCAAGCAAGCTAGTGTAATACGTCGAGGAACGTTGTCGAGGCCTATACTCCCTTCTTCCTAAAGAAGATTACTCTATGGATCTAGCAAAGAACGATAAGATCAACCGTGGACGGTGGATCGAGGAACGATATTGAAGAGAAGGATCGATCCAATTAATTATTTTCCAATCGATATCGATCCTGTCATGAACGTCGGCGAAGACTTCAATCAACTTTTTCAACTGTCCAACAGCTGACGAAGATTAGTGGAATTTTTCCTGAAGATAGTTCTTTCCTTCCAAGGGAAGATGAATCGGGAATTTCCATCGATTATTTGCTCCATTCTCGTCTTACTCATAATTCTTCTACAAAGAGGTCAGTTTTTTACTCTCTCTCTCTCTCTCTCTCTTTCTCTCTATTTTTTTTTTTTTTTAATATTAGTTGTTGATCAATGAATCTTTTTAATGATGATTTGCAATGGCGTGAGAAAATCAATACGACGGTTGTTTGGCAAGTGTCGAAAGTATTTAACGTGTTGTTTGATTTTCTATTGTTCTCTCTATCTATTTATTCAAAGATTAAATTGGTTTTTTACTTTTCTCTACTATTTTAAGCTTGGGCCATCGATTGTTTTAAATGTGTTTCGATCGACGGCGATAACAAACCCTGTGACGATCCCTTTCACAATAATGGCAGTCTTGCATTTTTGGAGTCACCTTGTTTGGGTGGCCGCAAAGGTCGAGATGGTCTTTTCCCTGCAACCGCTTGTATCAAAATAGCTGGGATCTATGGTGATTTTTCATATAAAAAAATAAACGATTCGAGTATTTTATTATAGTAGACATTTTTCAGACGAAACCGGCATTTCGCTTACTGTCAGAAGCTGCGCGTTGGATAGTGGAACCCTTACTACGGATTCTGAGATCATAAGAATGTCTCACTGTGGTGGTTTCTACTTTGACGATAAGTAATTTAAAAAAAGAAAAAAAATATGTTATACATTAGAATGATATAATTATAATTGATGACAACGTTCGACATAATTTATCCAATTTTTAGATACGTTCGGGGCTGCGTTCAATCTTGTAATGATGCAGATGCGTGTAACGGGACCACTCAGATCAAGGAAACATCCTTGATCATTTTAATATTACCTATTTTTTTCGGACTCGTTTAAACGAAAACAATTTCAATTTAAAGAACAATTACTTCGACCAATGAATGAGGAAGGGATATATCTAATTACGTTTTAATCATTTTCTAAACACAAATAATAACGAAAACTGCCACGTTACGATATTTTAAAACAGGCCGCCGCTTTGCATCGAACAAAATGAAAGTCAATCTTGTGAATAATTTTGTAAGCTTATACCTTATGATACGTAAGCATAATTTGCTACCCCGTTTTAGCTTTTCACCGTCGCTACAATTTTCTACTATCATTCTGTAAAATCGATAGTTCGTAGATGAAAAAAAAAAAAAAAAACAAAATTGTCATAATCAATTTGTATATCTTACAAAATATCGTCAAAGAAATAAAATTATTAATCGAAAATAAAAGAATGTTAATTATTGATTATCTAAGCGAATAATAATGACAACTTCATCTTCAACTTCGTGTACCTTTTAACCTTTTTTGAATTCTTCCCTGTTAATCACGCGAAAGAAATACGAATTTTCCAATTAAATCCATGGTCGCGTATCAAAACCCTGACGTAAATAAAATAAATTATTATAGTATTGGTATAAATGAATGATCGATCATGAAAAAAAGGCTATCGAATGTTTCCGAACAGTTCACCGAGTTCTTCGCGCGCGTCACGTGTTGGTCATGGGACACCTTCGAATCCTTACTGGACATTTTTTTGGATTTCTTAGCGAGAATGCTAGAATTTATACTTGCTATGATGAACTTATTCTTCCAAGTGATGTGTTTCCTTAGGGATCTCTGTATTGACTCTATGAGAACGTATTTGAACGTTTTTCATGGTATCGTTAATGTCATCAAAAGCATCAAATGCGATGACGTGGAAGATTTCGCATCCGCGTGCATCGTCGTCATTCTTTGGATCGAAGCTATCAGGATAGTTTTGAGATTGGTGAAGCAGGTACGAGGAATGGTTTTGCTGTAGAAAGGATCTAGGACAGAAAATATTGGAGTCTCAATGGGCTCAAATGAAATATTGGAGAATTCGCTTCAGCAATGACATTGATGGCTATGATACAAAAACCAGGTAACACGTTTCGCACTTGAACTTTAATAAGATTAAATTAATCGATTTTTAATGAAAACTTTAAACTTTATCAAGAGTTATCTGGTTTTTGATATTTAGTAGCATTATAATATTAAAGATTAAATTTACATTATAAATTCCAATGTTATGATACTTCAGAATCCACGGATGAAAATATGGACTTGGTTTGATCGAAAAATAAAACAGGAAAATAATCATTTAAACGCAAATTCTAAAGCTTATGACTATCAGTATTGCACATGTAAAAAATCTGGCAAACGTAGGGGTCGATACGTAAAACGTCTCCAGAATACGATCTCGGAAAAAGATCTTGTTGAATAAAACATGAAAGGATTATTTTTTTCAAGGTAATATAATAGATATTCTATCAATTTTTAAAATCTTTATAAATTCACTGAAATAATTTTAGAATCTGAAACTCACATCGTCTTTGTGTAAACGTTTATTATACATAACAATGTGTAAAACCGTATTTTAAATACCATTATACTTTATACACTTTATATGGTATTTTAAATACTATACACTTTATATAATAAGTTATATCTTATTATATACATTATTAAATACGAAACATAAGGCACCATTTAATAAGAGAGACTCTTCCATTTGTTTCTATTGCTACTTATCAATGTACATACATTGTACGTACTTAAATACGTTGATACACGACAACCTGCTTGTTTCTTTTAAAATCGTTATTAAAAATATTTCGTCTCCACTTTTATATAGGCTCTTGTAATTCTTCCCTACGTATCATATATTCATACAAACTAATGCACGATTTATAATATTCATAAATTACATAAACTTACAAAATGTGTATATTCGTAAAAAAAAAGCGATCGCGTTATAAATATCCGTTTCGAAGTTGCCTTTTAATGTAACTGTATAATACTTTAATCCTTCTCAATGGATGTTACGTACTTAAACATTAGAGAATACGAACGAAATTTTTCCGTGAGATTCGTCACAGGACTTTACCTATTCTATATTATTTATTTTATTTTCAGTCATTTACAACGGTTATAACCAATTTATGTTCGGGCCAAGAAAATGTTTTTGGTAATTGAATCTGTAATAAATATGAAAGTAAAAAAAATCATTCAAGTACAACGGTAAATATAAATTTGACTAATCGTATCTAATTGTAAGACTCACTTGTTCTGGCGTATTCAAGACTTGAAATTCGTTAGCCATTTTTTCTGATAAATCTTCGGGAAGTAAAACTTGTAACCAAGGACCCTGAATAACATATGGTTTTTCTTTGGATACCAAAGTGCCTGTAACCGAGGGAGCTACTATCGTCACAGCTGTATGAGATAATATGGATTTAAACGTAAAATGCCTTCCGTGCATGACTCGTCCTCTGCAATAAAAAATATCAATCTGTAAATGATCATCCATTGTTTTACATTATGACCATGCTTAAAAATAAATCTTATGAATAAATTCGTCTACTCACTTTATTGCTAATGGCAGCAAAGAACCAGCCTCCAGATTAAACGTTAAGTGTAATCCTGGTAAAACTTTGACACAATTCATATCATGGAAGCCTGTATCTCTTTCTTGTTCACAAGGAGATAATCGTTCTGTCTTTATTATAGGTTTAATATCTTCATCGTCAGAATCTTCTTTACTTTCTCTATATTTTTCTGTATTTTTGTCACCACTAACTTGTACCCACCTAAAAGTGTCATGATACTGCGATTGTAAATCTTCATTCGTAACATTTATTTTCATTCGAAAAAGAAACAAAATATATTTTAATTTTAAATATAATACCAGCACTTCGCAGAAACGCCACTTAAATTGGATCCTTCCCTTTCAATACCACATTGAATTTTTTCAGCTACGGAAGGATCCTCTTCCATAACAGAATGCATCCTTTTCATATTCGTTAGCAACCACGGGCCGCAACCTCTAGTCGTTTTCAAAAGATTTACTACTCCTAGACCATTCCAATGTTGAGCCGATTGTAACTCCTCGGAAGTAACACCAACAATTTGTACAAATGAAACCTAGAAAACAAACAAATAATTAGATAAAATTAATATAATGCGATTAGCTCTATTATATATTATTCCATATATAATAAATTAAATTATCAAGAGAAAGTACTTCGCCATGAGGAGTTGAAACGGATGCCGGCAATTGAGGATCTCTGCCCATTAAAATTTGCGTGATGCGACCACTGCCATTGTCCAGAGGAGCATGCCATGAAACGTGATCACCAGGGAGTAACATGTTGCCAGAGTTAAAGACATATTTAGCCAGTTGTTGCATTACGTTAGCTGGCCAGGTAGGTGGAGTAGTTTCGCCTCTTTCTCGTACCAATCTAAAGGTGAGTTCAAAACCAAAACCACTTGGACGTCCTGGACCACTTTTTGGATGTAACCTTCCATCTCCATGCAAATCGGAAAGACCCAAACTAAAAAGATCAGAGAAAAATAATCAAATAAAAAAAGATACATCATTTCCCTTTCGATTAACAATAAAAATTGTTACAATTAAAATCATATTTAATAACATTGAATTCAAATGAAATGAGGATAATGCTTCATATATTGTGTAAAATAGAAAATAGCTTTCTCTCTCTCTCTCTCTCTCTCTCTCTCTCTCTCTCTATCTTCCTTTAGGGAAAGAAAAAAAGATAAAAAAGAAATAGAAAAAAGTCAAGAGGTACGGTCAATGGCAGATTATATTTAGTCCGGACAGACGAAAAAGAGGAAAGTCTCGTGCTTCTATTTCCGATTCCTTGAGCTTTTCAACGACTTCATCCTCTTGCGCCCTATCGTCATCTATATATAGAGAAAGGCACGAACTATTAGAGCAGCTGCTTGAAATCGAAGAAGCATGGACCACTTTAAAAAAGAAAGGAAGAAAAGATGCCCTTTAGCGAAAAGCCACTTGTCGCTCGTTATGCAGATATTGTCGGAACTCGTGGCTACGACGAAATCCTTTCGTTCGTCAAGAGACTCTTTCTTTCTTTCTCATTCTCTCTTCTTCAATTCATACCGTTCTATTTCCTATATACCATATACATATATACAGATACTTGGATTCACTCGACGCGAATGAAAAAACGTATTGAACGAATTAATCGACTACTTCTTAGGAATAAAAATAATCGAAGAGGAAGGACCTTTTGTTCGCTTTTTTTCCTCCTTCTTCTTTTTCTCTAGTAAGCTTGATTTTTGAAGGACAAATGCTGCCGATGGTTTTTATAGGATGAATTATATTACGACTGGAATGAGGATGGGAACGAAAATTAAAGAAAATATAGGGATGTACCGAAGAGAGGGAGAAGGAACGTCTTTAAAATGACGAAGAAGAGGAAGACGGAGATTGAAATGCACGAGATGTACACGTGTCACGTATATATATGTATATATTATGGATATATATAGGTAAATATATATATACATAATATGTGATTATTATTATTATTATTATTATTATTATTATTATTATTATATATATATATATATATATTACACACAATAATATTATAATAATATATATTAAAATTATTTTATTATATATATATTATTAATATTTTTTTTATTATATATTTACGTACGTATGTATATAAATTTTCACCTAGCCGTGTACATGAGCTGTACGCGCGCGCGCGCGTACTCGTGTACATAAAGCTCGCGGGCTTGTACAAAGAGGCCACGGGCACACTTCTACCTAAACAGGGTGACATTAACGAATGCCTGACTTCCCGTTTTTTTTATCTCTTTCTTTAGCTCGGCGTCTCTCTTCCCCTATGGCATAAAAAACGAAGGGCTGTCTTTTCTGAATGAATGATGCCTCGAAGAAGAGAAAAGGAAGAAGAAGCATGTGGCAGAGCGATGAGAGCAAAATGAATCGCCCACGTTCGATAGATGTTCATCTTTTGACGTAGAATAACATTCTTACTTCGAGTCGAAATAACTATTCGCAAAATTTAGATAGTAAGATGATGATTGTCATTTGATGGATTTATTAACTTCTATAATAAAAAAAAAGAATATCAGTGTTAGAATAAAAAGAGATATGTAAAAAAAATCTCATCGTCATTTCTGGCCATTTTGAAATGACAACAAAAATCTAGAACAACGTTTCTTAAACTTTTCCTATGATGAAACGTCTTGGTTATTTTACATAGGATAGATTAATAATAAATAAAGCAAGTAAAAAATATAAAAGTTGAAATTAAAATTATACGAGGTCTGTATTATTTTTTTTTTTTTTTGGTATAATTTTTCACGTAACCCAGCAATGTTCCGCAAAACATAATTTGTAAAACGCTTATCTAGAAAATAGATTTTATTGAATATAATATATTATTTTAATTGAAGTAATTATAGAATGTAAAAGGAAAGAGAGTTAAAGTATTTAAACAATAGATTCATTTCGAAGATGTTCAAATATAGTAAGTACCTAGAAGGGGATATATAATTATTATAATATTGTAATATAATTTACATAACGATGTTTTTTATTTACATCATAAATGTTATGCCTTTTAAAGATCACGTTCGTATTAGAAGCACATCTTACTGTAAACATCTATTTAAACATTCTGGTAAAGGAAATAAGAAGTAATTCGATACTTACCTCACGTAATGCCAATGCGGAGGCACGCCTAGTTCGGGACAGCCAGGATTTTCGTACATGCTTATATAGTCGAGAGGATCAGGACCACCCAACCTGCAAATAAGTACACAGGAAATTCGATTTATTTGATTGTACATCCGGGCTAGACTCGTATATACATGACAAACGAAGGGTGGCTAAATATAAGCTACCCTTTTCCTCCTTCATGACGTTTAAACGCTTGGCATTTTTTGTTCTAACGCATACCAAACTGTGTCCAGCAACGCAATTCGAATTCTTTTTTTCATAGAAATCTATTATATTAAATGGTGGCGCTGCTATCATCAAAATGGCAGCTATCGATTGATTATTGGTAATCATCGATCCATTTATTAACGTAAAATAATCTAATTAAATGCTTCGATATAATTATTTCTATTTGATTAACATCACTGAAATAATCTTCTTATCATTGAGAAAGTCGAACATTGTATAATATAGAAAAAGAATAGAATCGAATTATAATAATCTAGATTCTTTTACTTTTCTTGTTATCGTCATGTGTGTGTATATATATATATACAACTTTTCAAAACAATACCCGACAGCGAAATTCTCCCTAACTATGAGAATTCATCGACATACTAAAACAATTATTATATCTTAATACTAATTAATTGAAACTAATGATATATTTGATACAAATATAGACTTAATATTACATCAAAACACAATATTTACGTATAAGTTCTTAACTAGTTAAATTTGTTGGTTATAAATTCTTACCAATATTTTACAACAGCTGTGACGGTGAGAGGATTGCCTTGGTCAGGATAAATTTCTTTACACAATCCATGCAAGGCGTCCAAACCGAGTGCTCTGGCTGCTGGTGGTGGTGGTGCTTGACTAGATTGTCCTGATGAACAACCTCTATGAAATTCTTCTCTTTCGTGCATATTGTTGTACATAAAATTACGGTTATTTAGATTGAAAGAATTCGTCGTAGTAGATGTAATGCCCCCTCGACAAGTCAAGACAACGCGAAACCCTTCGTCCGTGTCGTAGAAACTCTCACGGACGAACGACCCGACGACGAATCCAAACACCGACTGACTATTCTCTTAGCACATACTGCACGACTGACAAAACAAAAGCGTTTTGGGTGTGCATCTTTTGGGGAGCCACTAGTTGCGTGCGAGAGAGACCGACACACGTGACATCAGTTCGAGATTAAAGAATGCAATGATTGGTCGACGTACAATCATGGCGAATGCATATGACCAATCGCAGGTTGTTATTACTTTACGGAACGATCTATCGAATGTAACTCGTATCGAAATGTAGTTTCTCTCTATCCTTGACAACTTTTCAATATAATGAAAAGAGATGAGACGAAAATGTCACGTAGATCAATAAGAAAAAAGTAATAACAATAATTTATCTTGAGACTTCGACTAGAACTAATTTGATCTTTTTATTTATCTCCCTCTCTCTCCTAATATAACCAACGAATAATCAGTCTTTTCGAATATAAACCTGTCAATTAATACGACGATGCATTTAAGATGTTATATTTGACAAAATGAGGTTAGATCCGACATTTCTCATTCTTATCGGATTTTACTGGAATTTGATCGAATGTTTGGTAGTTACGGCAACAAATAAAAGTACGGAACCACAACTAGAGTATAAACCGTTAGGTCCGTTGGTATTGTGCAAATTTCTGTGAGTACATGGATATTATTTATCTCAAATGACCTTCAATAATTGATATATCAGTTTAGTCTTTAATAAGTCAAGGAGATTTAAAAAGATTCATCGAAAATCCTTCCTTTTTTTAGTCCAAAGGAATTCATCGAATGTGAAGATCCAGTTGATCATAAAGGAAATAAAACTGCAAAAGAAGAAACAGGTTTCGGTTGTGTCAAGGTATAGATCAGAATGTAAGAGTAAACAAATTTCTTAAAGATTCATCAACATTTGTTTAAATATTCCATTTTCAGTTTGGAGGATCGCGCTATGAAGATGTGGAAAAAACTAAAGTATTCTGTACTGTATTGCCAGACATAGAATGTTTTGGTTCTAGAACATTTTTTCGCAAAGGTGTTCCTTGCATAAAATACAGTGAACATTTTTTTGTAACTACGCTACTTTATAGCATATTGTTAGGTGTACTAGGCATGGATCGATTTTGCCTTGGACAAACAGGAACTGCAGTGGGTAAATTGTTGACAGTAGGTGGTGTTGGAGTATGGTGGGTCGTCGATGTTATTCTATTGGTTACTAATTCTTTGCAACCTGAAGATGGAAGTAATTGGAATTCTTATGTATAGTTAACACATTGTATATATGTTTGTATAAATATTGTTAAAAATTTTATAGCACTGTAATATAAATACATTGTTTAAGGATATACATTCTATTGCATAGCTATCAGTATTATTTGATACAATTAAAATTTTTTACATAAGTACAAATGAAGATTATATCTATGTAAGAATCCTCCATTTAGGACAACATATTTTATAATCGGTTTTATAAAAGGATCTTATATGTTTTTATATAAACGTTAGATTTGATGTTTAAATAGAAATTGTCTGAACTAAATCAGGAGCCATTTAACTCATTCATATTATTATAATATTATAAATTAAAATATTCTAGTAAAGCTATAGTTCGTAATCATCCGGATGATAAAGCTCACTAAGTAATCTATAAATATATGATGGTGCATTTCCACCCCTGAAATAAAAGAATAAAAATCGTTTGAAATGAATTTTTTTTGCAAAATAAAATTAATAATGTAAATGACTTACGTGTTAGAAATGAATAATGTGACAAGATCAGAAGGTACGAAATCAAATACTGGATTATAAGCATAAATATTTTCCATAAGAGGTTCATTAGCTCCATCTAATACACTTTGCGTAGGAGAAATATGTAGATTAAATCCATCCTGTTCATGTGAGCATAAATAAAGTGGTGAAAGTTTATATAGAGGTAGTAACACCATTACGGGAACAGAATAATGTTTAGCAGCCTGAGCAACTGTATGTGAACCTGAAATAGCTCTTAGTCCTCCATTAGCCATGACAGTATGAGTACCAATAATTACTTTATTTACACGTGACATCATTGCAAAAATTGCCACATCAGATATTAAAGTAGTTTTAATTTTAGCTTTGGCTAGATTTACAGCCATTTCATGACCCTATATATATAAATAATAAGTAATATAATATAATTAAAATATATAAAACTACTATAATTATTAGATATTATTATTAAGTAAATGCATATTTACATTTAGAGATGGTCCTCCTTCGGCCACTATAACTTCAAAAGCTCTTGTTGCAGCAGCTTTTTTAAAAAACTCTTCGACTAAATTAGATTTACCAATAGTCATTATGATTTCATTGGAATGGATGTGCTCCGAAGCTTGTTGCGTGATATTTATTGAACTATAAAACAAAGGATTTAATTTACTGCAAGAGAACAAAAAATTACTTCGTTGTAAAACTTGTCAAAAAAATTAGGACAGAGATTAGAACTTGAGTCTTCCACTTTTCACACGATTGCTCTAACCTTTGAGCTATTTGAGGACTTTTAATCAACTTCCTTACAATTGCCCATTTTATTTTGTATAAAAGTGCCTAATTCTACATTATATTAAGTTACCATGTTTCTAGTTCCACTTCGACTTCATTGATATGTTCAATAAGTGCTGATTTGAGGGTAGGTACAATTATATCATAATTGGTGTCTTGATCACATTCAGCAGTAAGAATTTTATGTAATGATTCCTGAGTATCCGTTTCTTCAGTTTTATTTTTAAGCTCTGATCTATATTCTTCCCTAATTATTCGCAATATACGTCTGACCATATTTCCAATAGATGCTTCAAGTGGAACAGATTCGATCAAATATTTTCCATTTTTTGTAATAATATCCATTAAATTTCTACATAAAAAAAAAATATACATAGTTAAATTATTATTATGCTATTATACATGGTGTTTTAAAATATGTACAGGATTAATGTTTTAAAATATCTACGAGAGTAATTTAAGTACGGTAAAATAAGAAGACAAAACATTTATATTAGGCATAAAATTATATAAACATTTTTCTTTTCTATTTTTAATTATGAAGTCTAACTTTACTGAAATATTTTAATTTAGATTAACTCAGTAAAAATAAGCTAAATGATTCATGATTCTTTCAAGCAAATATATCTTGTTACATCATTTTATCAATCTTAGATACATAAAATATAAGATAAGGTAAGGTATAAAACTTACTTTGCAGTATTCCATTCTGAACAATTAATAATAGCTTTAAATACGCAAACAGTAGCAATAACAATGTTATAAGTTCCTTGGATATCTCTGAAATATAAAAATGCATCACTTATTTAGTCAATCTTATATTTGGGGTTAAGACAAAAATCCTACATACCCGTAATGAATATCTTGTACTAATTTTAATACAAGTTTATTAATATCGTCGACTACCATTTTTCTTTAGAAATTATATGTAAATATTATAAATATATTATATCTATCCAATTATTTATGAATGCGCGTGTGGTGTAAGAACTAATTTCAAATTTTATTCATTCCTAAAGCCACACGGTCAACTAGTACGAAGATTTAAGATAAAAAAAAGTTTCAAGGAAAAAAAAACTACCTAGATGGCTTTTCTTTCTTTTTTCTGTCTTATAATACGATTTCGATAAAATTCTGATAATCGATAATAATCGATATATATATATATATATCGTATATATCGATATGCATGGATTTTATGACTGCAACTGTAATCGAATGTTTTTCAGATGTATAGTAGCGATGAATGCAATTGATGCAAACATGTCGGTGCATTGACAGTTAAATACTACGGATTTTAGGTTACTTTCTCTGCTCCTTTAAAGGTTCTTTTCGCGTTCATCAAGCCTTGCCACGTATTCAAATATTTTTAAAATTGTAAAGTGTTAACGTGCGTTAAATATTTTAATCGTGAAATTTCAATAGAATCAAATGAAGTCCATATTAATTTAACAAAAAAATAAAAAGTGATTTTTTTGAAATGGATGTGAATAAGTCAAATTTGTATTCAAACGAAGATCAATTTGATAATATCGATTCTATAAGTAAATTTAAAAAAGATCCGATTAAAGGTATATAATCAATAAAAAAAAAAGATTAACTTTAGTCATACATTTGCTTGTATACGATATAAATATTAATTAATGAATAAGTTTCTTTATGAATATATTATATATCGAAGGTATTAATCGATTATTTCATTCAGTTTGTTTAACATTTATTTAACAGATAATTGTCTGCTGCCTTTAAATGAAAATATAAAACAAAATAACACTGAAGAAAATGAGAAAATTTATTCTAAAGAGAATAAGCTAGAAGACGAAGGTGATAATGAAGTATTAAGAAAAGATAATAATTCAAATGAAAATAATTCATTGTTAAACAGAGTCAGTATTAAGGCTGATGATATCATTGAAACAAGTGTACATACGAATAGCATTCCAAATGAAGAAGATACGAATTCATTATCATCGATGAACCTTGATCTTCCAAATGAACAAGATTTTCAAGAATTATCTTCTAATAATTCATCGTATATCAATCATTTGCATAGAAATCTAGATAAGACATCTGAGACTGACACAGTTATTAGTAATGCATCTGAAGTTAATATGTATGATATTAAATTAGAAACACCCACAACTAAACAGTCATTAATTGTAAGCACTTCTTCTAACTCTTCAATAGAAAAAGATTTAGATTTAAAAAATTTACAAAATAATAATAATAATAATAATGATGATGATGATTTTACAAAAGTAGTTGAAATGAATGCAACATCGACAGAAGAAACTAGTAAAGATATGGAATGTATAAATAAATTTAATGTTTTATCGAATTTGTCAGAAAGTATGGATAAAGAATTTAAACAAGAAATGAAATTACAACCATCTGAAATTTCTGTGCAAAAAGGAAAAGTAGATGGTACTTCCATGTATCGACCAACTCTCAATGACGACAGTAGACTTGTAAGAATACCACTGCCAACAAATCCAATGAGTTTAATACAATCTAATGCACATTTTATTAATAGAAGTAGGAATTTTATTAATTTCATCACAGAGAAATCGACAAATATTATGGAGAAAGCATTGTTACCTCAACATTTAACTATGAAATATACCTCAGGATATATGAGTAGTAATGAAAAGAAGAATATAAATGCAGCTTCTTCGAAGACGGAATTATCACCTAAATATTTATTGCCTCCTACGAAATGTGATACAACAACAAAGATTACAAATTCACCAGTTGAATCTGTAATAGAACAGGCCAAAAAAGATGAACAAAAAGATGTATCAAATGAGAACAATTCCAAATATCAAGTTTCTTCAATGTTAAACCCACCTTCTATTGACTTAATTAATGATACATCAACAAATATTACAAATAATTGCAAGTTAAACAATTTTGAAAAGCATATTACAACCCAAGCTGAAGAAGCTTTAACAACAACAGATGGTAAAAATAATGATTATTTTAATCTATTACAATTGTATTTTCACTTATTAATTGCAAATATTTTATAGGAGTAATATTGCAAGAAAATTTAGCTGGATGTCAAAATCACTCAGTAAATGATGAAAATTCTTATGAAACTAATTTATTACAGCAACCCTCATACTTAACACTGTTGAAAGATTATGCCAAATTAAAAGCTAATAATATTAAATTATCAGAAAGGGTAGAAGCCTTAGAAGCAAGAAATGCCACGTTGGAAACAGAAAAAAACGGAGAACTTTATAAAATACAAATCGAAACATTAGAAAAAACTGTAGATAGATTAACGTTTGAATTGCGTTCGTCATTAGCTACCCAGGACGTATTAAAAAGGGAACACTCTGCTGCTAATAAAGAAATGGAATCTATGGTAATAAAGTATGCAGTCAGTGAGAAACAATTTATTGATACACAAAGGTATATTATCTGTGACAGAAAAGTTTAAAAAAAATCTTGACAAAAAAGATATTTTTGTTTAATATTATATCTTCGATAGGGCAAGAGAATATGCTGAACGTAAATTGAAAGATGTTACAAAAGAGCAGGAACTCTTGCAGAATAAATTACGGCAGCTTCAAGGAGAGAAAACCAGAATATGTAATATATTGGATGGGAAATGTCGTGAAATAACTGAATTGCAGAAAGAAGTTGAAAGGCTTAACGCAGATGTACAGATGAAAGAAGTTAAACTCAAGTGGTCCCAAAATAAATTAAAAACGGAAATGGAATCGCAAAAAGAAACACAGCAAAAACTTGACAAAGCTTTGGTAAGAAAATAAATGAAATAAATTGTTAAACATTAATATTTC